AAAAAAAAAAAAAAAAAAAGAACCTGATTAAAAAAAGAAGGCCTTTGTTAAAGAAAACATACATATACAAAGCACTGCCCATGATTTCAGCTAGCTCATACTCTAAATGTCCCATCCATATATATGATTCCAAAATAAACATTTCTTTGTAGAAAGTTTATTTCCATCCATAAAATATATCACTAAGTGGCTGAAAAAGTTACATATTATTTTAAAACATAGATTTAAAAAAATCATATTAGCTTCTTAGCAAAATGCTTTTGTTTTATGTATTTACAAGATTATACTATATTTAAGGTACACTTTTCCCTCAATCCAGCCTGACAAGGCCTTTGGATATAGGCAGGGACACCAATAAAGCCAATTATTGGTTCTTCCCACCTTGTGCACGAGATGATCCAATTTTACAAAAGTCCCGTTGAAAATAAGAGTAATTGCAGACAGCTTCTAGAGAAAAGTCCAGCGAAGCAGCAGTTGATAATATATTTTCTTTTAATGATGGAATTGGTCTTGTTTTGGTAATCTACAGCCTGTTTAGGGTCTGCCATGTGTGATGAAGTCCTTAAGACTAATTTGTTTCTCTATGAATCTTCAACCTGAGCCTGTGGGGAGGGCAGCTCTGAATCCATCTCTCTGCCATAAGGTCTCCTGTTTTGGTATATGGAGGGACGTTCCGAAATACTGCCATCCATGTTCTGATACATCTAAAAGTGGTAAAGAGACAGAATACTAATTATCATCTGATTAAAACTTACACATTATATGCCTATGTGGCAAACTGTTTAAATAAAATGATTTTTTTTAATGTAGGTAACTACTTCTACTATGCATGGGTCTCAGAGAATATTTTACATGAAACAAAGCAATCTTAGTCTTTGCATTTGTAGAGAAACAAATCAGAGTCCAGTATTTCATATCATTATTTTTGCAAGTGTGGGGTTGAACCCAGAGCCTCAAGCATCATTATTGTGTCTTTTCTTTTTTGGGGGAAGGCGGAGAACCAGGGATAGAACTCAGGACCTTGGGCTTGTGAGGCAGGCATGGCACCACTGAGCTAAATCTCCCACTATTGTGTCTATTCTTAAAAGACAAAATCTACCCTTAGATATAAAGTGTTACTCTAAAAATTCTAGAGCCATTAGAAAACCATAAAAACGAAAGGCTACAAGAGAAATCTGCTCATTATGCAATTAATACAGGGCACTGATGGCTGAGTTTTACCTGGGAGTTTTATGGCCTTTGAAGTTTTTTTCCAAAATGAAAATGGCTTTATATTTTTTTCTGATTAACTTCCACAGCATTTAAAGTCCATTTTTATTTTCCTCTCCTCCTCCTGCTTCTTAACCAATACTTCTGTAAGAAGCATGCTTTTAAATACTTGGTATATGAATCTAGGAGCTGTTTTGGATTGCTGCTATTGAGTTTTCATTTCACTGCCTTGAGGTTTGTGAATGTGCCCTGTATGATAACAATTCTATTTATGCTGAAATTATCTTTCTTCAGTGGGTTTACCAGTTTTTGTCATTTTGTGTTTTCTTTTTTTTGTTTTTGTTTGAGAGAGGGTCTCATTATATACCCCAGGCTGGCTCGAATACATGAGCCTCCTGCCTTACCCTCCCAAGTGCTAAGATTACAGGCATACACCACCACACCTGGCTCTTGTGTTTTTTTTATCTCCATAAAAGTTTTGTTTTTTTCTGTTCATTTAGTTGGATTGTGATATCTTTGCCACTTTCCCTGAAACTGCCTCAATCTATTCTTTTATCATTGCCCATTTCAGTTGTCATATTTACCTCTCAACTGCTGTCTTTATGTTCAACCTCTTGCCTTGCCTTTCCAATCGTGCTTTTACACTTCTTTCCCTCCTTCCTTTCTTTCTTTACTCCTTTCCAGAAGTGTTTGTTTATCACCTTCTCTGTACCAACCATGAAGCTAGCAGCTGGGGATAGTAACAAATAGATGTGGTTTCTATTCTATTTTCATCATGATCTTCATTAATTTATTTAATAAATGTGGGGCAAGCGCTACATCACCGGACATGAAGATGAGCAGAAGAAGATCCATGCTGCTTTGTGGTGGTCAAGTTGTGATGAAAAAGACGGACCCATAAAGCAAAATCAGCACATATGACATGAATCCCATATAAAGTTATATTATATGCAAAGCACTGAGAATTCACAAGGAGACTGAAATCTGACACGGGAAGTTGGGAGGCTTTGTAAAGGAGTGAATAATTGATCTGGGTATGAAGCCTGAGGTATAAGCATCCATCCTAAAAGTCTTATGTATACACGTTCTGGGGCTGGAATCCAGGGCCTCACACACTAAGCAAAGATCTACCACTGAACTACAACCTCAGTTCAATCCGAAAGCCTTCACTGGGTCACCATTCCTTAAATAACATTTGAAGATGTTATTTAATGATTCCCTGATCTAATCCATTGGCGTTGAGGTTAGATCTAACAGTCATAACCTACATTTTCTCTATTTCCATCCCCATTTGCCTGGTTCTCTGAGAGTCATTTTCCTTGCCTAGTCCTTGATGAAGCAGTAGATTCTACACAACTATTCATATACATTCAAGGAGGATCATCCCGGGCACTGAGATAAGGTCGGTTTTCTTATCCAAAGGTTGTGCATAAGAGATTAAAAGGGCAACATCAACAGGATAAGCAAGGCTCTGTTCATGGTGGACAGGGCTGCCTGGCATAGTTGTGTGAACTATGCTCTGAACAGTTCCTTAGCTGACTCTTAGGGCATTTGCTTGGCACATGCAAAGCCCTATGTTCAATCCCAACAGTGCCCAGCACAGCAGGCAAATGGGGGCTGAAACTCGATCTGGGCTTCACTTTTTGAGACTGAGTCAGCCTGGAGCAGAATGCCTGAGCCCAAAGGAAGCGCCTGCCTTTGTACTCCTCTCACCCACAGAGGGCGCCATTTTTTTACCTGATTAAAGAAGCTGCTATGTGTTATCCCTGGCTCTGATGCTGGTAGGGAAGAGAGGAAAAGAACCCTCCATCATGGCAGGGGCACAGAGAGGAGTGTGTAAACTGTCCTCAAGCATGAACCCATGGAGGGGCTGCCATCCAAGAGTTACTGAGAACTCACTCCTAGGTCCTTGAATAGAAGAAAGGGGATTTGGATATCTTATGGGTGTGAGGATATAAGCAGAGACTCTCAGGTCAAGACCATGGTGGTCCTGAACAAAGACAAGTGGTTCTTAGGCTCTGGTGGGGCCTTATCTTTTACAGGTAAGCTTTCTTCCATATTCCCCATTTTCTCATATGTTCGCTATAGCCATTATTTTCCACACACTTCCTCTACTTTGAACTTTATTATTATCCTTTCAGCTTGGGATATCACTCTCATCCTCCATTCTCAAATAGCTAAAATATTCCCCATTCTTCGCAGCCTAGTTGAGATCTAAGTAAATGTCAGTCAATCCTTTTTCTACTCATTTCTCATTTCCTTCTGTACTTGTTTTAGTTTATCCTACACCGTCATTAATTGTTTGCAGGTCATCTTACCAACAGTCTACAAGTAGCTTGGGAACTTTCCATCTCCCAGCTTTTTAGCCCAATTTCATGACAATAATTTAATTTATGTTTATTTATTTTTTAAAAGTCATAGTATGAGAAAAGGACACAGATCTTCTAAACAGGTCAGTAGAGAGAACACAGAACTGAAAATGGGCTCTGAACAATTTAGAAAGAAGGACAATCAACTGAAAGAACCAGATTTATAGTTAGCTAACATTTTATGAAGAGATACTACTTTCTCAGTATGTGCGAAGGCAATTTATGATCTCATTTATTTTTACCATCCCATGAATTAAGATTTGTTAATCTCATATTTCGCACAAGGAAACTGAGTAGAGTCCCATGCCACCCCCCAAAAAAAGACTAAGCAACTTCAGATTTGAACCTGGGTATTGGAAGCTCAAGACTCCATCCTTTGTTCATATCATGTCAGGATGGCTCTTTTCACTAGGAGGTTACTGATGGAGGAAGAGTTAGCAAAACAATTCCAAGTCCCCAAAGCTCACATGTCATCTAGCTTGGTAACCCAGTTTACAGGGAGGAAACTGAGGCAGGGTAAGGTACTGTGATTTGCCACAATGGACAGGGCTGGTAGGAGGTAGAACAGTAGAGCTGGTACTCAGCTCGGACAATGGCAGGTCAGTGCTCTTTGCACTGTACTATGTCACATGACCAGGCAGCTTTATTCCACACCAATGCTTCATGCTGAGCTAGAAAAGGACAGTGTCTTGTGGATGGATTAAATTTTATGTTGTCATCTAATCCTTTGCATTGGACCTTAAAGCTATTAATTCATTAAGTAATTGGCTGAAATCTTCAGGAAAGGTACTGTTTTTCTAAAAACACCTGTCAATAAATACCTCCCCCAATACAGCTTTCAAAGGGCAACCTAGACAAAGAGTGGTGAGAAAAACAACTTGGCACATCTGGATCTTAGGAAGTCAACACGAGTATTGTGAATTACCAATTTCCTTTATGGTCATGGCTTATCAAGTCCCGGCTGTTACATACCGCTTCTTCTGCATCTGCCAGCTGACATCCTAAAGAGGAAGTCAGATTAGGGAAGGACGGCCGTTTCCTGGAGTCAAAGGCCCAGCAGGATTGCATTATAAAGTATCTGCAAAAGTGACAGCACAAGACCAAGATGAGGAAATCTGAATGAAATTAAATCGGCTAATGTCCCATAGAATGCCATACTATTTATTGTGTAGAGCTAATCATTTATGGCATGCTTGTTTTGTAGCAAGGACTTTATTAGATTTTGTACTCAGAAAGGAGAAATTCGATGATGGGTAGGGATTCATTTAAAGAAATATAATGTAGGAGATGTGGTCTAATCCTCCTGGATCCTTCTAGCAAAGGAATCAAAACCAAAAATTAGGTGCTGCTGATGGTAGGCAAGGTTTAGTTTAGTTCAGAATCTCTAAAACATAAAGGAAGATTTTTTTTTCTGTTGTTTAAAGAAGAATAATCTCATTTTTTATTTTTATTTTACCTTTATTGTCATGCACTTAGAAGTACATAGACTATTTCTAATTGCAACCAATCTATAGTCTGATTTAAACTTACATTTCTTCTGTAGCATAAAATGGCTGATCCATTTTAAATCCACTCTGAATGAGTTTATAGAAGTTAGCATCGACTGGAATGCCAGGGTAAGGATTCACACCTGAGAAAAACATACAACCAATGAGACTATTCATCAGTTCCTTCCTTTGTCAGTTTATTTGTTCACGTAAGAACTTGCCAGACACAACCTGCAGCTGGTTCTACAACTACATAAAGAAGTCACAAGTCTTCCCAAGCCAGTTATGGATCAGCAGGGAAAACTGACTTAGGCACAGTGGCATGTGCTGTGAATAAGCAAGACGAGGAGGTGTGGGGACACTGGACGTGGTATTTTGTACTTAGGAGATAAGGGGGAGGGGATACAGAGGGAACAGAATGCACTAAACCCAGAACCAAGGAGGCCAGCAAAGTGCCCAACATACCCAGTGAGAAGATCTCCCAGAGTAGTATTCCATAGGACCAAACATCACTCTTGATCGTGTAGATCCCTTCAAATAAGCTCTCTGGAGCCATCCATTTCACAGGCAGACGCGCCTGCATACATCCGAGAGGAGAGCCAAGGGTGAATTTTCCATGTGCACACCCATGGCTTCTTTTATTAAATGATGAAATGCACTATTTTCCTAAAGCCAATCTTTTCACTTTCAAGCTACTATTCAATAATAGTTACACACACACTCTTCTTTTAAACTCATCTTGAACAAAGGCTTTTCCTGGAGTTGGCAGATGTAACGGCAGTTACTCACTTTCCATTAAGGAAGGGCTAGTGTGTTGCCCAGATGTAAGTGAATTCAAGAAAACAAGTGGCATCTTTGTTACAGCATTTCTCAGAAAGTTAATGGAAATGCCATCCTCAAGAACATAGGGAGAGGAATTATGTCAACACTTCTAGAAGTGATACCAGGCTGGCTTCTGTGGCTTTAATAACTTCCAGCAGCATGGAAGGTGAATTTTGACTGTGGACAGCCTCAATTTGAATCAAGACACAGGGTGACCCATATCTCGGGGCAGAGTAATTTGAATTCATTCATTTTTGTCATAGGTTGAGGAGCCCCTCATGGCACATGTCTAATCTACCAAGTAAAATCAAAGCCCAAGAAAGAAGCCATCATTTAAATCCTATACAAATGGGAGAGCAGGCTAGTCTGGTTCATTTAATTCACTGAAGAATTACTTGTGGTTCCAAATGGAATTTACCTTGCCACATAAGAGACAGCCAACCTGGAGGGCAGAAACTGCTTATCTATGGAGGAGCATCCAGAAGATTTATGAATTCAGCTATAGTAATTGATGAGCAGATTTTTAAATCAACTAAGATGATTATTTGAAAACCATTTAATTTTATTTTTCACATCTATTAGCCATTTACCCTGAACAGGCTCTTTTTGTGTTGGTTTTATTGATTTTTGGTTTGTCTTGTCCCCCCGCCTGCCAAACAAATCTGTGGAGTAAGTGCATGGGAAACAGTCCCAAGGAGGTTAGGCACAGATTTAGGGTTTAGCAGATTTGTGTTCAAATCCATGAGCTGTGTAACCATGCAGTTACTTTTGTGTGACTCAGTTTCCATATGCACAAAGAGGGTACTCTGAAGACTAAATGAATATAGGTAAAGCACCCAGAAGAATGCTTAGTGCAGAGTAAGGATATGGGGCGGAGGATTTAGCTCAGTGGTTCCACCGCCTGCCTTGCAAATGCCAAGACTCAAGTTTGATCCCGGGTACCAAACAAACAAACAAACCAACCCCCCAAAAACCCCAAAAAACATAGTAAGGATATGATCAGTATCGGGTGCCATTATTTCACAAATAGAGACAATGATGCAAGGAGAAATTCCAAAAACGAATAATCAAAAAGGAGTGCAATAGGGGCTTTAACCCAGGTGTTCTAACTCTTAAAAACCATTCTTTCAAATACAAAATCAATCTAGTATTTCTAGTTTTTATTGTAAATAGCGTACCTGTCTTTAGTGTGTTTTTAGTAAGCAAGACTCAGTGATGTTTTGGGTCTCCTTGTATCAACAGTAACAGGATGACAAATTTTTCTTAATTACTATTTAAGTAGTATGGCCTTTAAATTTTATACTTAATATTTAATTTATGTGTTGTACATTTTGAAAAATACTTTACTGTAACTATTACCTTTTTCTCATAATTGGGAACATTACTCAACTGTCACTTTGTAGCTAAGGAAACTGAAATAACTTCAGGTAATGAGATTTTTGTTTTTTAAAGTGAAGATTGCACTCAAAAGCCTCTAATGGATCTATTCTGACCAGATGTCCCAAGGATAGATGTGTGGCTATTTCACTCAACTTTTATCATAGATGGCTTATTCCCTGAAGCTGAAAAAAAAGTGTTTTAAACATAAGGAAGCAAACTGCTATGAGGGTTTTTTTATGTTTCCATAAATCAAAAATGCATTACCCTGAGTGCAGATGTTTACCATAATAATGACAAAAGACAAACTAGCAACATGAAAACATGGAAGAAATAGCAGCCTCACATTGCCCCTGACAACGTAGTTGGAATCACTCAGGATATCTCGAGCCAGTCCAAAGTCACAGATCTTCACCACCTTCCCGTGGGTGACCAGCACATTCCTGGCTGCCAGGTCTCTGTGAACACACTAGAAAGAACAAAATTGGAGTGTTATTAACCACAGTGCATTCTATCAGAGAGTGCGAGCTGTCTTCTAGCTCAGAATTACAGACAACATAGGATGAGCAGTCATCAAGATGGATGTGTAACAAATGGAGCAAATCTGGGGCCATTCCCAGGTTATTGTGGCTGCTGTCATTCGTGCTGCCAGAGAGGATGAGTTCTCAGAAAGAAGATCTTGCTGTAAGAGATATGAAGCAGGGTGCTTGCTGAGCCCCCAAGGGGATTTCTGAGGTTATCTTCCAGTGCACTCAGGGTAGGGAGGAAGAAACTAGGTAATCTCTTTTCTGGGTGGGAAATGACATTAGGAATAAAATGGGGTAATGTCAAAGAAAGCATTCAAGAAACACACATGACTTTGGGGAGGTTTACTAAAGGGAATTAGGAATTTCTGAACTGAGTGATGTCATGATATTAATACAAGGGCAGAAAAATTGACTGTCTGCAGGAATTATCTCAAAGGAACAGAGTGGTAGTTACTGAGGTTCAAAGGGCTCTCTTCAATCTTTAAAAAACAAAAGCAAAACCCATAAAAATTGAAACACTGGTTCCACAACTCCTTTATATCTCCCCAATCCCGAAACCCATGTTTTGAGTACAATCTGCTTGGGCTTTGCCCTTTTTACTACCATGCAGCCTGTTTTCTTCCCCAACTTGCTGCCTCAACAGCTTTACCTAAGGCCCACACCGACCAGCCTTGGCTCCATCCTGTCCCAATTTGACTTGAGTTCTCTCTGAACTCAACCCTCCCCTTTTGGCTTTTTCCCTTTGCAAATTTTGCATGTATCTCTCTGTTTTCTTCCTTCTGACAGTGCCAAATGTTTCCTCCAAGACCTCTGGATGAGCCCATTCCCTCTCCCAGAAATGCATCCTCTCCTTCCACATCCTCCACCAAGCCAATTCATCCAAGCCCAGGGGTGCAACTACCATCATTCACATCTCTGTTTCCAACCCAAACACTTCTCTTGCATTTCAGAGAGGAACAGCCAAGTATTGTATCTATTACACTAAATTCGCCTCCATTATCCACAGTCAAATTATCTGAGTCAAAAATCATCCTAATTCCAGGTTCCTTATCCTCTTCCATGTTCCCTGTTGGTATTGTTTCCTTTAAAAGCCTCCTCTAGCCCAAGCATGAACTTCTGCAGAATGCTTTTTCTGTAGTGTCTCTCCTTCTCCCCACCAAGTCTGATGCGTATGTCCCTCCCCTGGGTTCTCTGAACTCACTACGGTCACAGTATTTATCACAAAATACTGTCATCTTTGATTTGTATGTTGGTTTGTCTCTTTCTCCCCTACCAAACACATGATCCTTGGGCCAAGGAGCCATATCATCACTGGTTGGAGCCCCCAACCCTAGCATAGGGTCAGCATGTAGGATATGTTCAGCAAATGCATGATAATGTCAAAGAGCCCATGGAGGAGATGAGGGGAGCAACCTGAGAAGCAGCACGAAGGGAAGGCAAGCAAGTGGTGTGCATGATTCACTGGGGAAGGTCAGGGCTAAGCGTGTGGCTCAGTACTAGAGCACTTGCCTGGCACTGAAAAAAAAAAGACTCTAGAGAAGGCTTATAGTAAGACAGAAGGAGAAACTGGACATTCTTCAAAGGTTCATGTTATTACAAGTCTAGAAGAAGAAAATGAAAAACAGTGCCTTGACCACCAATTGCTAGTAGTTTGAATACTAGTGCTCCTTAACTTACAATGGAGTTGCATCCCAATAGAACCACTGTGACTTGAAAATGCTGTAAGTCAAAAATGCATTGAGTACAAGCAGCCCATTGGACACCCTAGCCTAGCAATTCGACCTCGTGTGCATCAAGTGTCTCCTTGTAACCATGGGGGTAAGTTGGAGCTGTGATTGCTGCACTGCCCAGCATGGAGAGAAGGGAGCAGACTGTACATCACTAGCCCAGGGATAGATCAAATTCAAAACTTCAAGTGCTACTGTTTCTACTGAAGGTATGTGGCTTTCACACCATCCTAAAATCTTAAATGGGATCATCGAGGGTGGGTATTGTCTACATTTATTAAATAGTTAATAGTTAAATAACTATGGGCAGCAAACTTGGCTGGGAGATCTAGGTGGATGCCTCCATGTCTGCAAAGATATTAGGGAAGCACTTCTGTCTGGGTGGAGCTGAACCACCAGTAAAGAATAAGGTGCGTGAGAAGCTTGAGGAAGGGGAAATCCAAACAAGTAGAGAAAAATAAAGAGAAGAATGTACTGCAGATGAAAGAGAGGAGAAAGAAGTAGAGAAGGAGAGGAAAAGAAGATGAAAGAGACCAAAAGATAAAAGAGAACAAAATTTGGAAATAAAGAAAAGGTAATAGGAGGTGAAGGAGGTCAAGGATGTCACCCACAAATATGGTGAACCTGTCCAGTATTTTAAATTAGGCACTTGGGAATCAGCGGATTCTGGATGCAGCTTTTCTCTGCAGTTCCCTGTCCCCCTGATGACCAAATCTGCCAGTGAGGAACACAACTGCCTCTAATAAAACTTCTAGAATATATACATATGAATATGTAATAGGAGGTGAAGGAGGTCAAGGATGTCACCCACAAATATGGTGAACCTGTCCAGTATTTTAAATTAGGCACTTGGGAATCAGCGGATTCTGGATGCAGCTTTTCTCTGCAGTTCCCTGTCCCCCTGATGACCAAATCTGCCAGTGAGGAACACAACTGCCTCTAATAAAACTTCTAGAATATATACATATGAATATATATATATATATATATATAGATATATATATATATATTTTTTTTCGTACCAGAGATTGAACTCAGGACCTTGTGCTTGTGAGGCAGGTGGTGGAACAACCACTGAGCTAAATCCCTGGCCCTTCTAATAAAACTTCTCACTAAAATGAAAGGAAGATTAAAGTCACCTCACAGAGAAAGAGTGCAATCAAACATCACACCTTCTGCCAGAGACCTTTGCCCCAGATCACTGTCAGTTTGTTTATTTACCATGCTGGAGACTGAACCCAGGCCTCTTGCCTGCTGTGCAGTGTTCTGTACCACTGCAGCTCAGCCCCATTCATTCCCTCTCAGAATCATTTTCTACCTCTCTAGAGTTGTCTACATCTCCCATGAAGAAAGATGTCTTCCATCTCTCTCTGATGAAGAAAGTGTTTAAGCTCCAATCATCTGATGTGAAATGGCAGGGAGCAGCCATGCTGAAGGGCAACGTCAGGGGAATGCCAAGCAGGAGAGAGACTAAAGTTTGGGGCAGGCTCTGGGGCCTTGCTGTCACCACCCTGATGGATCTAGGGTTAGCAACCCAGGAGGCAGTGGAAAGCAGGTCTGCCATGAGCCCACAGCACAACAGTTCAAGTTAGACAGATGCTCAGGGTGGCGAATGCAGCAAGCAGATCATGTTGAAGTTAGGCTTCCACTCACCTCCTGAATCAAATGTTCTGTGCACAACCTGAACAACTGTCCCAGTAAGACAGGAGGTTAGGGCATGGCAAAGCTGGCTGGGGAAGGAGGTGTGAACTGTTAATTACAAAATCCCAGAACACGTGCACAGAACAGTTCCCAAAGTCCTGCACATAGAGTGGGTTTTTGATCTGACATCAACATGATGAGTGGATGATACAAAAAAGGGCAGCCTATACTGAGTTTTTGTCATTGTTCTCATTTCCATCATGGCCTGCCCTCAGGCTGTAGGGTTACCTCTTTTCCTACTTTTATTTTGCCCAAACTTGTTCTGCAGAGTCTGTTTCTTCTCCTACCTCTACTAAAACTTTGCTACTGTTGGTGGTTGTCTTGTCCAATTCTTTGATCAGGACAGAAAGAACCAAGAAACCACCTCTAGCAGGAGACTCCAGCACTCTAAAATTTGGTGACATATTTGGCTGCCCAGCCAGGGAAGCAGGTAAGGCCCTCTGGTCTTTTTTTGTTGTTATTTTGTGTTTTGTTTCTCTCTAAAATGCTGCATCTTTTTTTCTCAGCTGGTAAAAGACCTACAGGTCCAACTCAAGGTTAGCTCCCATTTTCTTTCTTTTTTACATTTGCAGTCATTCTATGGATACAAGTTAAGTAGCCAGAGAGCTTGTTTTGTCCTCATGTTTCTGTTTTCTGTGATACTTTGCTTAGCTTTCTCACTCTTTGGGGGGAAAAATAGCTGTTGGTAACTTGGTAACCTTCCCAAGCAGTTGCCTACCCTAGTTTACTCCATTTTTGTGTTCAAAGTCTCATCTGTGCTTTAGGCCCCTACTTGGCTGTTTCTTTGTTGGGGTGCTATCTGAGTTAAGCTTGCCATCTTGTCTTGTCACATGCCTGGCTGCCTGTTTGGGTCACCCAGATGGGTTCTGCCATGTTTGATTTCAAGTGACCTCATGGTCACCAGAAAAACCTCACCCTTATAGATAGGAGCTAATCTCCAATTTTAGATAACATGCGGGCTTCCTCTCGCTTTTGTATTGAATTAGGCTAGATTGCTTCCTTGTTTCATCTTTAAAAATGCAGGTAATTTAGAAACATGTTTGGCAGCTTAAGCAGAAAAAAAGAACAGCCAGTGAAGTTTAACTCAAGTGAATGTGAGTCATTCTTATGATTTTTAGGTGTTTTTTTTTTCTTTCTCTCAAAAAAGAGGTTTCTGTCTCTACTATTTTAAAGTACCAAAGTTTTTACTCTCAGGGTAAATGCAAGAGATATTGTTTCTCAAGTGGCTCCACCCTGCTTAAGTAGAGTCTACAAGTGGCTCAGTGTGGCTAAGGGAGTCTCACTGGTAAAAGACTCCATCCTGATCTCTAGGTAGAAACATCAAGTGGCTCAATCCCCTCTCCCTAAGGAGTTATGGGCCCCAGTAGGAGACAAAAAGCCCTCACTAGAGCTTTTCTTCTATGCTTCTATGAAAGATGCTGACACTTAGGACAGAGATGAATGTCTAGTGAATACTTGAGTCTCACAAGGGATGCTTTGTGGGTTCAATGGGCCTTCTCCTTCTACATGGGATGCCATTTTAAGGACCCGAGACCTAGTTGTCTCTGACTATAGGCCCCAAGACAAGCCATATGAAATCTCATGAATGATGCCCCACAGATTCCACTTACTTTGCTACTAGGCCTAATCTGCAAAGAAGGAGCTTGCTAAATGAAAAGCAACATCTATAAAGCACAAACAGGAAATTCTATAACTCCTAGAGGCAGTCGATCTTTCCAAGCAGATTGCAGTCATGCATTGTAAGGGATCTCAGAGTGACTTGTTTAAAGTCTCCTTGGAAAATCAAAAGGCTAATAGGGAGGAAAAAGTGGCATCCCTACAACTCCTCGAGGCCCTAGGCTTATCCCAGTTCCTGAGGAACCATTCTGGTCCTTCCTCAAGAGATGCAGTGACAAGCTATAAAATCATACATGGAAAGTAATCACTAGAATTTTCACAGGAGTAAGAAGAAAGCTATTCCTGAGATCCTCTGGAAGACCTGAGGCTCCTCTTCAGAAAGCAAGATTCCAGTATTGCTCTGCATGCAGATAAGTAGAGTCACTAATGACCCTAACTCACCACAGCTTAAATGGACACCTGTACCACAGTTTAAATGGACACCTGTACTGAGGCTCCCATTTTTAATTAAGACCGTTTATGTGGGTAATCTTGGCTGTACTTATAGCTCTCGATAATTTATAGAATATCCCTCTTTGCCATACTTTGTCCTCCACAGGAAATGTGGAAATCCAGCATGAACCTCATATTTGGGTTCCTTATCCCTAACATCTTATAGTGATACCACCTTTCATGAACTTGATTCTCTCCATGATTCTGGACTCAGACTGAATCAGACAAGTACTAAATCAAATTCAATGGTTAGGTTCAATGTTGACTTTATGGGGAAATTTGATTTGGTTCTCTTCCAGTTCAGTTTGCAACTAGAATCATGGAAAGAATCAAGTTCATGAGCCACAGTACCACTGCAGTAGAGTTACTTTAATTATTAACCCTTTCCTCATTGTCTTCTGACAGGTTTTTTTCTTCAACCCAGCCAGTGAACCACAACACCCAAGGCAGTTGGAAAGCACATACTCCCAGTAGGTAGTGTCTATAGCTTCTTCCAGCCAGAAGCTATGGAAGACAGAAAAGTTCACTTCTTTAGCACCTCATAAAGAATTATGGGAATATGTGTCTCTCAGGGAGAAATAAGACAGCAGATTAGGGCATGGCAAAGCTGGCTGGAAGTAGGTATGACCTGCTAATTACAAAATCCAGGACACATATGCAGAACAGTTCCCAAAGATCTGCACATGGATTTCTTGTGAGAACTTGAGCTGGTTTAATAGGATAGCCTAGACCTGATATCAACCTAAGGAATGGATGATACAAAAAGAATATTCCACATTCAGATTTTGCCATTGTATTCTCTCTTGCATGGATGGCCCACCCTCATGCTGTATGTAGGGTGTGCTTCTTTTCCTACTTTTACTTGGCCCAAACTCACACTGCAAGCCTTTGTCTTCCTACCTTTAATAAAACTCTATCATTTGTGTTTGTCTTAAACAATTCTTTGACAGAAAGAACCTAGAAACCACCTGCAGAAGGAGACTCCGGTACCTTAAAGCCTAGTAATCTCAGGAGGGAGTGACAACACTGCATTTCATCTTCAGTGGGGGACTTACCAGCCTCCCTATCTTGACCTTTTGCCCTAGAATTTCCAGGGGACTTCAGAGAACCTAGGAGGGCTAGGCTAGCCATTTTCTAAAAAATGGTAGGCCTTTGTACTATAATTAGCAAAGGGCTGGGGTAACATTCTAGGTAATTTCAAGGGTAACAGTCTAGGTGAGTTCAACAGTGAACAGGGAAAATTAAAGTACATTAATAAAGACATGCTAAAATAAGAAAAAATATAATCACATCTCTTTTATAATTATACATAAGCATGTCTTTTTTCATAATTATCTTGTTTATTTTTTGTTAGTTTTTTTCCCTTTGAAAGGAGCTTACCGACTTAAATTCCAGAAATTCCATCCCTTTGGCAACTTGATAAGCAAAGCAAAGAAGATCTTCAAATGTAAGCACATTCAAGTCCTCTTCTTCTTCTAGCCTCTTTTGGTTTTCATATTCAACTTCATCTGTAAAATAGAATCAGTTCTCATTTTTGCCAAAATGCTAAGAAGTTGCCTTATTAAATCTCATGATAAGGTGATTAAAGTTAGATGAGTTATCTTAAATATAATTTATAGGCAGTAGTTGGTTTGGACTGAGCTCCTTCTCTGGACTCAAGAGACCAAACACATAAATATATATACATTAATAAAGCCTATCACTGACATTAGCAAAGAAAAAATTATCTCTGCCATTGTACTTTGTAAAAATAGCTAACACAAAAATCTTGTACCACTTCCATTTCAATGTGCTATTAATTAGAATAAACTATTACCTTCAGAATGAGTTGAATTCCCATTGAACCCTGATATCTGATCCAAATCCTGGAGTATTTGAACTTCTCTTGAACCAGGCATGCTATTAAAGAGAAATTTTTTTGTTCATTGTTTATATTCTTCTTCTGGGCAAACATTTAAAAATATAACTCATCAGTGAAATGGATTCCAGTTACAAATGGGCTTTTTACATTAAAAGCAAACAGTCAGCTTGTCAATTTTTTGTGTACAGTAAGAACATCTTTGTCATTGGCCTTGCTGGTTTGAGCAGGGTAAGAGTGATCACACAAGCTTTGTCACCTACAAGTCCAGTGTTAAGGTTTCACTCTACAAAAGAGAAATTAGGCATGAGGAGATCAATATGACTTGCAACACCACGAAGCTAAAAAGGAGTGGGAATAATAATCAGACCTTATGCTTCGTTTTCTAAATTCAACCCATTTTCCCATTAAAAGCTGGTGTGACACAGATCTTGACAGAGACATGAACTGTTTTGCCATTCATTCTTGTTTTTTTGCTTTCTGGGTTTTTTTGTTTTGTTTTGTTTTGTTTTTGTATGGGAACTGGAACCCAGGGCCTCATGCATTCTGAGTGTGTACACTACCACTGAGCTACATCCTTTTTGTGAGTTTTTTTGTAATGTTCACTGCCTTTCCATATATAATAATAATAATAATAATAATAATAGTCATAATGAAAAGCTCTTTTGAGGTATATCATATAGAAATCCTGAGTTTTGTGCCAATTATGAACACATTATGATTCAATTTATTCCGATGTATGAATTTATCCTATTTTACAATTTTCATATCTTTGGAAAATGGCTTAATGTTCTGTAATCACAAATATTCTAAAATTAATTACCTCAGCATATTTAATACCCTCGTGATCAGAATGAATCAAAGAAGCTAATTACTGACCAGAGTCATGCACATCTGACTCATTAAGATAGACTTATTTTCAGTTCTAGAATATGCAGGGCAGGCTGAGGGTGTGGCTAAGTGGCGGAGCATGTCCTTAGCATGTGCCAGGTCCTAGGGTCAATCCCCAGCACTGGGAAAAAAAAGGTATGCAAAAGTATAGAATTTTCTCAGCTCTAGAATGTGAATTGAGAAACTGGGGACCTGCCTGGGGCCTGTAGCCATAGCAGACTGGATCTCTAAGGGCTTGTAGGCCAAAAGCCTCCACTGACACTTACATTCTAAGAAAACAAACAGGCCCCCAGAAAAGGTTAAAGTCCTTGATAATAAGTCTGCCTTTAGAGTAAGGGAGAGTGTTCACCATGCAGGGAAGCAGGAATGCACTCTGGATGGAGGACGCATTTTCTTAGTATGCCTATGGATCTGTTCACAGAAAGGTGCTAGAAAGCTATAATGGTCAGGTCATCAGCCAGAGATTTATGTTTGCTGAAATAAAAGGTCCCACTAGAGCTCCATATCACTCAGGACTCCCACTGAAAGCACAGAGACAAAGTGATTACTGTGTTCTCTTTACATGCCAATGAATCCATTCTGATATTTCAAAATTCAGATTGAGCTCAGAACACTTTTGTGCACTAGTTCCAGGATGTGAGCTACTTTCTATGAGTGTCAGGGATTTTGGAAAAAGTCTTCCTTCTTTCCACCAATCCATATGTGGCAAGCAGGATGCCTGAAAGACTGAATAATGTACTTTTCCTGAAATCAAATATGTACCTAGGGCGTAATTTAGGAAAAGGTAGACTAAGACTGGCTCAGATCTAGTAACTCTCTTAAAGGTCTCATTGTTCTAACTCAACAGAGAAACTACAGTAGTGACCTGTTATCTATGGGAGATACGTTCCAATGTTCTAAAACCCTCAGCATTATTATTAACAATTAATAATAAAATAGAACAATTATAAAATATACTATCATAAAAGCTATTAAAAACTTTTGAACTTTTCCATTTAATAGTTTTGGATGCAGCTGATCAAGTATAAATAAAACCATATTAAGTGAAACACACAATGGGAGGCTACCTATAGCAAAGATGAGAGACTTTTGTGGGTCTTAGATCCACAGACCATAAAATGTCTTTTGAAATTGCCCAGTGGGGCAGTGGAGATTTAGCAATCACACTTTGGCTATGTCCTATGATGTATAATGATGAAATCTTACCCAGACACTTACCTGGAATTTGGATGTGATTGGAAAGTAGGGTAAAAACTGAAATTGTGCTCTTTGAAAATCTCTGTCCATGTTCTGTGAAACTTTTCTCTTTTATTTCTTAGATAGTTGAGAAGGTCACCATAACAACAGTATTCAAAAATCAAGTAAATTGGTCCTGAAATGGTGACAGTTTCATTATAAGTATGTACATACTACATTGCTTTTTTTGTCCCTTCAGAAGTCCTCATAGCATTTAACATACTCAGTGAGAGCTTAGCTTTCCCCCATCTTTGGGCATAGCCTAGCTCATCTTATCCTTTAAATCCAATTTCAGCTTCAGCTCTAACTTTTTCAGAAATCAGGACCTCTCACCTTTCTTTTGGGCCTTGACCACATGGCCTCCCCGATACTGCTGGCATCCAGAATTCTCCAGTCTCTAACTGGGAATCAGAAGCCATCTGCATTGTGAACACTTGGTACTATGATTTGAATCTGGAATGTCCTCCAAAAGCCCATGTGTTAGCGGCGGTTCCCAGCCAGCAGTGCTATTGGAAGGTGGTGGAAATTTTAAGAAGCAGGGCCTCAATGAATGAAGTTAGTTCTTTAGGGGGCATTCCCTGATGAGGATATTGAAACCCCAAGCTTCTCTGTCTCTGCCTCTATCTCTGCCTCTGCCTCCCTCCATCTCTCCCTCTTTGTCCCTCTTTCTCTCTCTTTCTCTCTCTCTCTCTCTCTCTCTCTCTCCTTAATCTACATAAGGTGAATGGGCCTCTGCCACCATGCATTCCTACTATGGTACTGTGTTGCAGCAGGCCCAAAACAATAGGATCAAGTGACCATGGACTGAAATCTCTGAAACTATGAGCCAAAATAAACCTTTTCTCCTTTTAAGTTGATTATCTCAGGTATTTTGTCACAGTGAAAGAAAGCTGACTAACACACTTGATTTGCTGTTTGCCTGAGGAGGGAGAAATATATTCTCAATCAGCTCTTAGATCCATTTTTCTCTTTTCTCTATTCTTTCAATCCCTGCTCCAGCCCTGCTGTGCCAGAAAGAATAATGCTTGAACACCCAGTTTGCGTATTTCTAAAAGGATGTGAAAGAATCAGAGAATATGCCCCAGAGGATTCTTGGAAGACAGTTTGAAATTCCACCTAGGCTGTGACTTATAGAAGGTAGCCTGATGGGGCCATTGGCCAGATTCTGTAATTATTCTCATCACTGAATTTATGCAAGCAGAAGAGCTGCTCAGATACTATAAAATATACTTTTAGGATCATTTATTTTTTTAAGTAGGTTATAATTATGTGATATATCCCAATGGAACAGGTAATATTGATCTATTTGATTTATGGAGTTCTCTATGTCTAACTCCATTTGAATTGAGGGCTCACATGGGACTGAGAAAAAAGAATAAAAATGAGAACAAATGTCTCCTCTCCTCAGGCTGAAATGGGTTGTACTGGGTGTATGTGGTGGCAGCTGGTTACCTGACAGTGTACACGCCCCCAGCAGGTTCACTATATTCTCATGGTGCCCCAGGTGAGTCAGCATTTTGAGCTCTGACATGAGTGCTTCTCTTTCAGAACTGTCTGATTTTTCTGTCAATGGAGGAGTGCAAAGAAATGTCAAACTCAAGTAAATAGAAATTTCATGTTGTTTAATAAATTAAAACTTCCCCAGGTCAGATCTGACTTGCACTACTCATCAAAATTATAAAGAGAGACATAGATATAAAAATAATGCATGAATTTAAAATAATAATATCCTGTGTTTTAAGACAGAATTTCAGACTGGTACTAACATTAAATCTACTATGCCTTTCTATTAGAATCTCCTTACTGACCAATATAAAAATCCTTAGAGTTGGCTCTCAAAACAAACAAGATAACAGGGAGCCGCCCAGGGCCCCCCTGCTGCCCCAACGGGGGAACCACTGCGTGGATTCCTTCCCACCCCAACCCCCGGCACGGGATGCCTAGGCCTCTTCCTGGGGCGAGAAAAGTCGGGGTTGAGCCCCAGCTGCGCGGTGCCGCTCTCCCTGAAGAAATGAGTGGTGGCTTGGCTCCAAGTAAGAGCATAGTACATGTGTCCGACTTGTCCTCCCTGACAAACAGCGACTTATACCGGATATTTTCCAAGTATGGCAAAGTTGGGAAGGTTACTATAATGAAAGACAAAGATATGGGGAAGAGTAAAGGATAAAGACTCTTTATTTATTTATTTATTTATGGTACCTGGGATCAAACTCGGGACCTTGGGCTTGCGAAAGAGGCGGAGGAACCACTGAGCTAAATCCCCGGCCCAAAACTCTTATTTTTGCATAAAGCCTCTGCACAAAACTGCTCCAGAGCTATGCACAGCAATCAGCTGTTTGATAGAGTGTGATAATGGCAAGCACTGCTATTGACAGTGGGAGGGAGAGCAGCTGCATTCACCCGAAGGCGGAACTACTTTGATAAATCCAAGGGTGATGAATGGGAGGAAAGCGGACACTTAAATTATGCCTGTCTGAAAAATATGCTTGAGAACGTGAGCCTCCAGAGAAAAAAGACAAAAAGAAGTAAAAAAAAAAAAATTGCCAAACTGGAAGAAATTGAGGACGTAGCAGAAAGTGAAGACGAAGAGGAAGGACCCTGTTCTCGACAGTCTCCACCAAGCCATCGTGGCCCAGCAAGCCAAGACTGAAGAACAAACAAAAGGAAACACAGTGCAAGGGGCCCCTCAACATCAGAGGATTCAGGGTGCCCGAGGATAAAGAAAAGCAATACTTCAGTGAGGAGGAATAGTTTGGAGATTAGAGTTGTATAATGTAGATGTCAGGAAAATAAAAACCATCTGCAGTACAAATTATTTGCTTATACGAACATTTAATATAAATATTTTTACCATAAAATAGTGCGTAGAAAATAAAAAATAATCTTTAAAGGTAACAAACAAACAAGATAATAATAAGACATGATTTCCCTCCATATAGTGAGTGAGTTCTCTATCCATATACTTAGTGAGAAAGATTAAAAATATTTGGGAAAAGTTGCATCTGTACTGAACATATATAACCTTTTTCTTCCTTGTCATTACTCCCTAAACAAGGTTGTATTAGCCGGGCATGCTGGTGCACACCTGTAATCCCAGTACTCAGGAGGCTGAGGCAGGAGGGTCACTACCAAATTTGAGACCAGCCTGGGCTACATAGTGAGTTCCAGAGCAATCTCAAAAAAAAGAAAAAAATATATATGTGTATATATATATATTATAGCAACTACTTACATAGCATTTACATTGTATTAAGTATTAGAAGTTATTTATTTATTTATTTATTTTGGTACCAGGGATTGAACTCGGGTCCTTGTGCTTTCGATGCAGGTGCTGGAACTACTGAGCTAAATCCCGGCCACAAGAAGTTATTTTAAATGTACAAGGGGATGTGTGTTGGCTCTATGCAAAGACTACATCATTTTACAGAAGGGAACTGAAGGGACCAGGAATGTAGCTCAGCAGCACAGCACCTGCCTGGCCAGCATGAGGTCCTGAGCTCAATCCCTGATACAAAAAAAATGGAAGAAAGAAACAGAAGGTAACTAAGCATCTGGAACTATGGTATCCTCAGACAGGGTCCTGGAAGCAATTCCTCATGGATACCAAGGGATGACTGTAGTACTTACTATAAATAAAATATGGCAAATGAATGTAGGATGCTATGGGGATCATGCAAGAAGGACAACTAACATAGCTTTGCAGGGGTGGAGAAAGGGATCTCCGATGCCCAAACTGAGGCCTGGAGAAAAATAGGAGGTAGCCAGGTAAATTCACAGTGGAAGGGGCTGAGAGTGGAGAGCTTTGCAAATTGAAGTGACAGATATGCAAAAATCAAGAAAGAAGAGAGCAACTGGGGGTGGTGGCACATGCCTATAATGCCAGCACTTGGGAAGGCTGAAGCAGGAAGATCAAAACTTTGAGCACAGCCTGAATAAATTAGCAACATAGTGAGACCCTGTCTCAAAATATAAACATTTTTAAAAGCTGGAGATATCACTCAGTGTAAAGGTCCTGGGTTCAATCCCCACTACTGCTGGAGAAAGAAAGAAAGAAAGAGAGAAGGCGGAGGGAAGGAGGGAAGGAAGGAGGAAGGAAGGAGACAGAAAGAAAAGGAAAGGAAGGAAGGAAAGAGGAGGAGGAAGAAGAGCGGGGAAGGAAGAGAAAGAGGAAGAGGAAAAAGGGGAGGAGAGCAGAGGAGAGAGAGACAGAGAAAGAGTACAGCAAGATAGACACAGACCCTGCCCTCTTGAGGCTTATGAGCTAATGCAGCAGATAAGACATTAAGTGAGTAATTAAACATTTAATTACAATAATGAGAAATTCTATGGGGGCTGGGGATTTAGCTCAGTGGTGGCACTGCCTGCTTCAAAAACACAAGGTCAGGTGTTTGATCCCCAGTACCAAAAACAAACAAACAAACAAAAAACCCAATTCTATGGGAAAAGCCAACAGAGAGCTAAGGTAACATAATGCAAGAGATTTGATTGGGGGTGGGGGGTGCTTAGAAATGAATCTAGGGCCTCATGCAAGCTAAGCATGTTCTTATCCACCGAGATAAACCCTCAACTTCAAGGGGTTGGATGCTGTCTGCAGTACAGGAGGGAGAAAGCATTCCTGAAGAAGTGATAATTAAGATACTTAAGTGAAAAGGGAAGAAAGGCTGGGAAGATGGATCTTTCTGCGCAAAAGCCCTGAGAAAGGAGGAGTACCATGCTCTGGGGAACTGAAAGGTGTGTGCTAGATCACTGAGAGCAAGAGGTAGAGAGGTTGGGCAGCAGCCAAATCATTCAGAACTGTGCAAACCATTTTAACAATAATTGAAAGTCAATGGAGATATTAAATAGGAAAATGATACAATCTGTTTTGCATTTATGTCATCACCATCGCCACCTGGACTTCAGCATAAGGAATTTACCAGGAGGTAAGAGTGGATACAGAGTACCTGCTTTGGAGAGTATTGCAGCCATTCAGGAGAGACAGGCCTGGACAAGGGTGGACACTGAAGAAGATGGCTCTGAGAGATACTAAGCAGGAAACCTGATAGGAATATCTTTGGGGGGTGGGGTTAGAAAGAGGGCAGTGTCAAGTACATTCCTAGCTTTCTGGTGCAGGAGACTAGCTTGAAACTACACTGAGGAGGTTTCAGATATTATTGAATTGACTTATAATTTGGCTATTGATTAAAACTATAAGTCACTCCAAAGCCTATGTGTGACTTGCTAAATGAGCCTTCGGCTGGTGTATGGAGACAGACTTCTCTATGCTAATGGTCACAATTGAGATCTCAATGATTGATGAGGTTGCGACATCTCTAATAGCAAAGATGACACTACAGCTGAAGAATTATGACTCTATACAGCCATTTTTCAAGATCAAACATTAGCTAAAGATAATGAAGGTGGCTTGTTAGCTACACCCTGCAAGACAGCAGAGGTAGCTTGTTAAGTGTGACCTATCCTTGAAAAAATGCAGTAATTACTAGCTTTTACAGCCTGGCTCATTAATGCCTCAGGTTCTGCTATTCCCTACATCTGCCTTTTGTGCCCCTTGCTATGTTACATAATCATAAATACTGACTAATCCAGAGCTCACGGTCTTAGCAAGGAGAGAGCTAAGATCAGATCCTGGCTCCCAAAGTAATAAATTACCGTTTGTTGTAATTGCTTTATTCCTTGTTCTATGTATATTGTTCTTTCATCCTTTGCTGTACCTTTATTCAGATGATCCTGTATCCCCTAGAAACTTTCAGGCATCAACTGATATTCTGGTTTGCCCAAATGTGCAGAATATAGTTCCTTATTGACTTTTTTTTCCCACTACCTGGAATTGAACTCTTGGGTCCTTGTGCTTGCGAGGCAGGCGCCAGAACCACTGAGCTAAATCCCCAGCCCTCCTCATTGACTCTTGATACCAATCACTAAGAGGAGGGAATACTGACAGAAGCCTAGATTGGGGAATTTGGTTTGGATGAGCTGAGTTAAAGGGACTTTTAAGACATCTAAGCATTTGGCCATAAGAATTTGAAGCTCAGAGGGAGATGCAATCATGAGAACCATTAGTATACAAGAGGAATCTGGGTTGTAAGGTGATCAACTATGGTGAGCACACCGAGGTCCAGGAACAAGCCCACAGGAACTCCACATCTAAAGCCAGATGGAAGGAGTGAGCCAACAAAGCACTGAGACTCAGTCAGAGAAGAAGCAGGAATTCCAGAAGAATACTGCAATGCAGGAGCCAAAGGAAGAAAGCATTTCAAAATGGAAAGACCAGTCAGGAGTGTCAGTTTTTGCTGAAAAATCAAATAACATGAAAAATGAAAAATGCTTGTTGGGCTTAATTGGTTGGAGGTGTTGAGGCTCAGAAAATAATAATCCAAACCCTAAAGTATGGCAACTTTGGAAAGGAGTAGTCTCAAGGTCTCTCATGCCACCTCTCCAGCCCACCGTCTGTCCTATAATCCTCTTTCACACCCAAAGCACAAAGAAGGGCCTTCTGAGGTTCCCTTCTCCTAGAGAAACTCTCTTCCCCAAAGAAATGTAACTGTTCTGAAATCTCATTAACCAGAAAAGATCAATTCTCAGGAAAAATGAGACTTAAAATTCTCCAAGCTCAGGACACTGTCCCAGAAAGAGTTTTCATCTATTTTCTGAGAACAGTATCTAACAGACTTTATGTACATAAGACAGACAGATGCATACCTGCCTATGCATTTCTCGTATACATTCTCCTAACCATCCTTCAGGAACCCAAGAGCCCATCCAAGTTTCTGTTCCTTTTTGTAACTCAGGATAGTAAATAAGCTTCAACCATCTGGACTTTCAGCCATCTGACTAATATTTTGTGTTAGATTCCAGTGCTGGATACCACTGATTCTCCCCATGCACATGAACAAATTTGTATGCCTTTTTCTCCTATTATCTTCTTAGTCTCAGTTCATTTCAGCAAAATTCAGAGGGTAAAGGAGAAATTTTCTCTTTGCCCCTATATAGATTAGTGTTCCTCTTAGCAAGAGAGCCAGTTGGGGGTGCCCTTGCTGAATGGGTGATAGTACAAGGAGTTACCAGGTGGGTGTGAGATGGGAGTGGATGAAGCAATGATTGGGAGGGAGAGGGCTCCCATTTTCTCTTCTACCCTGAGTTATTTCAAAATGTGACGAATAGTCAAGCATGTTTGTACATGCCTGTAATTCCAGGACTTTGGGAGACTGAGGTAGGAGGATTGCAAATTCAAGCCCAGCAAAGGCACTTAGTGACTTAGTGAGACCCAATGTCAAAATAATAAAATGACTAGGGCTATAGCTCAGTGCAAAGGCCCTGAGTTCAGTCCCCAGTACCACACATACAAAAACTAAAATAAAATAAAAAGAAGAAACAACTTTTATCTTTTGCCTGCAGTGACTGTAAACCTAAATACTGATAAAAGCCAATAAAAATTAAATAGAGAGGACCAGGTATTTAGCTCAGTGCTTGCCTCACAAGCTCAAGGTCCTGAGTTTGATCCTGGGTACCAAAAAAAAAAAAAAAAAAAAAAAAAA